TTATCTTGAATACACGTTGAGGTAAAATTTGTGAGAAAATGGCTGCCAAAGATTAGTTATTTCCTTAGCTTAAGAGTCCGTGGTAACTGAAAATTTACATTTTTTGTGTCTTTAATCAACGTTTTTCAGAAATCTCCACACAGACATGCGTTCTTTAATCGACATGAAAGGTGTTGAGCCAAAAAACAAAAATTTGATAAAAATTCACAAACCGTCGGAAAAATGCAAGTTTCTTCAGTTTTATTATTTTGACGAGAGCCTGATTCACATATTTAAAGCTAGATCTCGAAGCCCCTTAGCACTGTGGTCTTTTAAATCATCATGACTTTATAGCATGTTTTCTTGGGGAAGAGCAGCCTTGCTTCTCGTTGCCTGCTGCCGGTTTATGCAGTTTTTCTCGCAAGCCTTTGTCCTTTAAATAACTACCCTTAATGCAGTAGTTCGTCCTGTAGAATGTAGAAGATTTGTTAGATTCATGGCGACTCCAGTTGCCAAGATGGTCTATTATTTAAACATGTGAGAAATTTATTGAAACACCTGTTCCACCAGTGTTGTCCTCAACTCTCCACAACCATCTCCCATTCGTCGCAATTGCAATTTGGCTAATCTGCACTCGTTACGTTACCCCAAAGCCATTCCCTTATCCATCACCCAAAGACATACTATCATGCTGGTAGGACATGGTGACCCATATTAAATCTTTAGTGCCCCCACAAAAATAAGTATCATGTTTGAACCATGCATGAAAATAACCATTCGTCACACCGAGGTTGTGAAATATTCGCGCCCAAGTTTAAAACGTATACTTCTGTATAATAGATGTTTGGTATTCAAAACGAGAGACACCAATCTCGCAATGACCGATGTGAAAATATGAAAGTATTCTAAATGTGTCTGTAGAAAATCTTAGAAGGAAAGTATATGAACCTGTATTGTTTTCACAGGCTATAGGAACATAATATCATATTTTTGTTTTTCCGACCACACGACCCAAGTTTGGGAACCCAACGACTTTGATTAATATTATAATTTCTTAAGGTGAGGGGCAACGGAAATAAGTCTCTTTTTAAGAATTTCAAAACACGCTGTAGGCTATAGGTCCAATCTTTTTTCGTTATGACTGTCATCAGTTAAATTAAGGGTAATAAGTTAAGGGATTTGAATGTAAACAGAGTCATCATTTCTGGGTAATCAAGACTATGTAAATGAAGGTTGCTTTAAGGCCTCGTTAAAAAAAATTGTAAATGGTTACATTTTGTAAGAATTTCGTAACTGAAATACCAAGGCTTCCACATTTTTTGAACCAATAGCCTTCACATTTTGCATGCTATCTTTTTAAACCATAGGCTAATAGAAACATTTTGTCAACAAAACATTCATCAAGCAGCAAAAATGCGACTTTACTTTTTAATAAAATACGTTACATGAAATATGCAGTTTTCTTTCTGACAAAAATTCCAAATTTTACTAATTGGCGATCTTTTACAAGGAATTACTTGAAAATTATTCATTAATTAAAAACTATTACGATTTTTGCAATGTCCACATTAACGTCACAGTTGTGCTATATACCGCACAGTTGTCGGTTGATGATGATTTTATGCCTTTTAAATCTCACACTCTTTTCCATAAATGCTCTGAGTACGGTGATACCACAAAACACTGTGTACACAATATTATTATAATACAATATTATACAACTCGTATTTAAATGGAATAGCCTGAGAGAGCGAAATTCCAGGAGCACCTTCCTTTAAACGCGAAAGAACTATATCACGAAACATTGACCCGGAAATGAACGTTGATTGGTCTGTTTGTGTAAACAGCGCTTGATATCGTCCGGTTCAATCAAGAGAAGAGACCAACTGAAGACAGCTGACTGACTGATAAAGACTTTAAGACAAGTTTAAATTAAAATACCCCACTGTTTGATAAATTTTCTAGAACTAGATCTAGAATCTAGATTTAGAATCTAGTATGGCATTCCCACGTGCCAAGCTGGTGCGTTTTAATGAGGCAAATGGCAAGTATAATTTCTCCTACCACAATGCCTTTAAAAGGAGGCGCTCTTACTCTTACGCTTGTCAAGTAAGATTACGAACTTCCCGACCCATCAATTCATTTGACATTTGAACGTTGCTATCTAATCTAAAGCCTAGATTCTAGATCTAGATTCTAGATTAGATCTACTTTACTTTGTAGGCCTACTTTGTTAGCTTGCAACTGATCTAGATCAGATCAGATTTACTGAGTAACTTACTCAGATAAGAAGAACTAATCTAGAGTTCGACAGGCTAGGGGGATAATGGGGAGAGGCTTGTAATCATGATAACAAAGACTTAGATCTAGAGATTAATATGGTGGCTGTATGATAGGCCTACTGTGTCCAATTATAGATCCATCATGATTTTAGAATTATCTGATCTATTCCCTATCTTATCATTTCTTTTCTATTATAATCAGGAATCAGGGTCCTAAGAACGCACAGGCACAGGGGGCTCTCCTTGTGGCCTAGATCTAGAGGTTAAGTAAGGTGTTGGCCTCTCATTCAAAAGGTCCCGGGTTCGAATCTGGGTAGCGACCGAAACATTTTCTTCTCTAAAATTGTCTCCTTTCACCTCCTTTCCTGCTCTCGAGCAATATTCTGTCTGCTTTCGTCTCCTCTTTCTGCCCCCACCCCCTCACCTCCTTTGCCCTCTCCTCTGGGCTCCTGACTCTTTCTGCAGCCTTTCTACTGCTACTCCTTGACTCCTTCTTACAGCTAGCTGTCTTTCTGCCACACCCCTGATCTACTGGTAGGAAAGATCTACACCTAGCCTTCTCGGACAAAGGCAAAAAATCTCGGAGGGCCCGTGTGCGAGTTGCGCACGTTAAAGATCCCTTGGTGATCTAAAATCGATAAGAGTAGGCTTCGGCCGCCATCCAGGGCAAAATTCAAAATTTCTTACCCACTAAAAATTGGCTAACTAAAGAAATATGAAGTGTTTCCCGCGCGCTCATGACCTTTATGCAGTTGCAAGCGCCATAAAACACTTACCAAAAAACCCCCCAAAGAACCCACTTTGTCATGTTATGTAAACAGGGGACTGTTTGACTTGAGATGTCATCCCCTTACTTTCATTTTTGCATTTTTTCAACATCTTATAATGCCATGCAAGATTATAGATTCTAGATCGAGCTATAAACAACAACGAAGTGACTATTCGGACTCGAGTCCGATTAGACCAAAATTATATTCGGACTTTAAATTGAGTGCAGCATGACGTCCGTTCCGACTTTCGACCCTTGTTCCTAAATATTTGCAGCATTTATGAAAGTTTTTTCGATTATAATGATAACAATCGAGACGTGAGCTTTAATATCCAGTTACTAGATCTATCTTAACTGGCCCTCCCAGCATCATTAGTATGAACAGAATAACAAAGTGGAGTTGACCTTGCCGGGGGCAAAGTTAAAATTATGTCGACCAATGAGATTGCGCGTAATGATCACACACTCTCGGCTTGCTGGGAGAAGAGGTGTTGGGAAGAGACCACGGCTGATTACAGAAAAACTCTTATTTAACAAACGAAGTGGCTAGCCAGTACGGCTAGACTGCCAGTCTAGCCGTACTTAGATCTGGGTTTGGCCCTATCGACGCAAGCCTGTTAAGTACACAGGTCTCATTAGATTTATATCTAGCAATTATTCAGGTTCAAATACATGCAAGCGAGTAAGGCACCTTTTGGTTTTGTCTGAAATATAAATAATTTAGGCATAGCAAACTAAAAATTTCATTTACAATTCAGCCATCAATATTAAGTACGGCTGGCCTGACAGTCTAGCCGTCCTTAAGTACGGCTAGCCTGGCTGTCTACCCGTACTTAAGTACGGCTAGACAAGAAGTCTACCCGTACTTAAGTACGGCTAGACTGCCAGTCTAGCCGTACTTATCTTAGGCCCAATTAACATTAGAAAACAGGAGGTTTAAAATACATTCACTGTCATTAAGGCACCTGGTTTCGTCTGTGTTTGTCTAGGAGACTAGCCTGTTCTTAGTCTAGCCCTCAAGCAAAACAAGTTTTAAAATGCTGTAAAAGTGCTGTGTCTCTTACAAATTCAAGTCTACTGTTGACTTATATATATAACTGATCTGTCCAACGTGTTTTCATTCTAAACACACAGAAAATTCTTGAGGAAAAATGCAGAATACAGTGATGGTACTCATTTGTTTTTTTTTTCTCTCCAGCTTGCACACCTGGAGTTGGAGAGTATGATGTTGGACGTGATCCCAAACACAATGAGTTCAAAGGTAAGGGCAGACAAGTAGATGAACACTTAATGCTAGATTAATTTTTGTTCTGTTCTTAGTTTTTGTACCCGCAGATCTTTTATAAGTATAAGACTAGAATTTAAAAGATGTCAGCTAAAAAAGTAAAGCTTGAGAATTTTGCAGGGTGTTTTTATAGGACAAATATATATCATATGCTAAAGAGACAAGCTTGGAATAAAGGATTGGGGAGAGAGCTAATGAAACTGCTCAGAGCCATTTTACTATTTTCATTGACAGTACAGTGACAACTATTGGTGACATTTGGAAACCAAAAGCAACATGGTCATATGCTTGGAGAAGTCTGCTTTCCATCAATACTCTGAATTCAGTTCTTCTGTTGGGCCTGTATTGCTTCTCTGTAGTTGGGTTTGGCCACGTTTCCTGTCTTAGGGCTCTGTGTGTCTTGCACTGCTGGACGATCTGTTCCACTGTTTGGTCTTCTTGTCCACAATTTTGGTTATTGTACGAGTTTAATACGTCTGTACATTTGTTGTTTAAGTCTTGTGTTGTGTTTTTAGCCTGAATTCGCTAACAATCCTGCGTGGTTTGAATCCCTCGGAATCACAATGATTTCTTTTGCTCTCACGCTTTTCTATTATCTATTTGTGGTGGCCGAATTTTGCTATTCAAAAGGCTTTCTAATGGCTGCATCGATCGACATGCAGTTTTCCCCTAAAAGTTCTTTAAAATATTCTCCAGATCATGACGCCCTTCGTTTTTTTCAGTTTTGAGACAGTTTTGCTGCGAAAAGCTTAATTTCTTTATTTCGCCGATCGCTTTTGTAGGCTGATGCTTCTGTCTCTGTAATTTTAGAAAAGGAGGTTTCCGTTCACTAACAATGCGCACTGTTTTGAGAGTATAGATCTAAACCTTCTAATTTTTGCATCTCTCAAAATTTATATTGCTCCATTTAAGTAGAATGTGAATATCATAAGCCAATGACTTTCGGCTGACGTTAATGCACTGATCATTCCTTTCATCGAAAGGGGACCCAACTAGTATTTCTTAAGTATATTCCTCTGCTCTCCCTTTGTACCAAAGCTATGCCATGACCTTAAATAGCATGCTTTGTTAAAATCATGCTTTTATACGGATGTTGCTTTGGGGCTGATGAAGACGTTCTCTTTAGTTTCTCCAAAAGAATAATTGTTTTAGAATATGTCCGCACTTGATTTATTGAAGATGCGTCGCTCATGAACAACAGTATCTCACACACTTTCAGAAAAAAAAGAGATGTTGCTATTTATAGTTCCTGTTAATCTTTTCCCTTTTGTGCCCTGTGGAGAGGAGAGTCTTATTTTATCAAGCGTTTCTGTCATTTTCGACTCTCTGGTAGGAGGTTTCAGCTGTCTTTGTCCGGGTATGACCCTTTCCAACAGTGCAGATATGTCAGCCCTCCTCCTAAATGATCTAAGTCGCTTTGTATACAGATTAAAATCAATCATTGTAAAAGTGGAATCTTTTTATTTCTATAAACTTAAACAAACTGCGTTGCGCGCCTGGTTTTAATTTAATTGTTTTTCCTGGAATTGTAGGACTTTAATTCTATGCTTCTGAACTTATTAGATGCAAAAAATCTTTATTTTCCTTTTTCCGTGACTAGTGTATAAATATATTTTTGTTGTAATATTATTTTTTTTACTTCGTTTTCAGCATTGATACTGCTGCTTTATGTTGCATTTTTTACTTTTGTCTTGTTCCTTTTTTTATTAGTAAACAACTTTATCTTCTCTTAAGCTTCTGTGCACCAACTTAAATTTTTAATGATCTTTCAGCATGGCTTAACTTAAAAAAAAAGAAAATATATGTAATTGCATGAGTAGGCCTACTATTTCCCATTAATTAACTATTAAATGTAATTTGCTTTTATGGTCTTTGAAATGAAAAAATAAAACAAAAACAGTGGACCTAATCGAAATAATCTAGACTTTATTGCCTTTTTTGTCCTAAAAATTATAATTCTTTTTTACTTTTTAGACCCAAATCGCACAGTCTTGGACAAGACAAAAGCCATGGCAAAGTTGGAAGCAAGCAGCAAACGTCTGCGTGACAAAGGAATTATCGCATCTGTGAGAGGTGAGCTCTCCAAGCATGTTGAAGAGTTGCACCAGCGGCTGAGAACGGCTGAAGAAAAACTCATAGACATGGAAATCTTGAAACTTGGTGCCGACAAGAGTAGGGACATGTTGCAGAAAGATCTCAGCGAAAAGCAAACGGAGCTGTCCTCACTGACAAACACTGTTACTGAGCTCAATCAGCAGAAGCAGCAGCTTGAAGTATGTGAAGCAGATGCGGTATGTCTTAGGGAGAAGCTTGCTCTGTGCCTGGCAGAGAAAGAGGAATGCGAAAAGAAACTCACAGAAGCGCAAAAGAAAATTAAAGTCCTCGAAATTGAGAGAGACTCGCTGGTGAAAGAAAAGGGTGTACTTGTGGAACAAATGCAGCAAAGCGAGAAGATGCTGGAGGAACTTAAGACACAATCTGAGGCCGCTAATGCGGAAAAGCAAACATTTGTTGTCCAACAACAGGATTTGTGTAGCCAGATGAAACAGTTTAAGGAAGCCCACTCAAAACTACAGGAGAAACTGTTTTGCTTCAGTGCAGAAAAACTGGAAATTCAGAATCAGTTTATTGAGTTCAAACAACTGAATGAAAAGCTAGAATCAGAAAAGACTGTCTTGATTCAGAACATGGAGGAGGTACAAAGAGAAAGAGACAATGCCGAGACAGAAAAACTCTCTCTTGAAGAACAGTTACTAGAAAACTCCAGCAAGGTGGAAGAACTTGGTTTGCGTATGGAAACTGTGACGTCAGAGAGGGAAAATGTAATGAAGGAACGAAATGAACTCGAGCTGAAAGTGAACCAAAGTCAAGAAGTCTGCGCTGGTCTTGAAGAGCAACTGAGTAGCCTGAGGGGGGAGAAGCTAGCAATAGAGGGTAGACTGTCTCAACTTGGGGAGGCTCATGAGCAGCTGACCTCGGAGAGAGATGGTTTGCTTCAAAAGATAACAGAGATTGAAAGTGACCGAGACAGTTTGATAAAAGAAAGAAATGAACTAGTAACACAGAGGGAAGAGAATGCCAGTAAAATGGATGATCGGATATCACAGCTGCAGGCCGGGGCAGACGAAGAAAAAACGTTGTTGTTGGGAGAACGTGACAACCTTGTTCATCAGCTGAAGATGAGTGAAGAGCAGAAATCCTGTCTGGAAGAGAAGCTGTCTTGTTACTTGTCAGCAAAACAGGAGATAGAGAGAGACTTGGAAGAGCTGCGGGAGGAGGAGGAGAATCTGCAGAGAGATCTGGAGGAGCACAAGGCTCTCAGTACAAGTTATCAACACCAAGTGGCTGCCATGCAAGACCAAATTGATTCATTGGAGCAGTGCTATACCTCATTGCAGGAGGAAATGGTGATGCACACTGACAAGTATGAAGAGATCATTGAAGAGCAAACTTCTGCTCTGCAGCTTCAGTTGGACCAGATTAATGACGAAAAGGAAAAGTTGATTGTAGAAGTGCATACGTTAGAAGAGCTCAAATTTTGTTTAGAGGAGGAAAAGCGAAAGCTACAAGACGATATGGATAAAAAAGTAACTGATTTTAGTGAGCAGGTTGAAGAGTTGAAAAACAAGCAAATACAGTCAGAAGCTAGAGAATCGGCAGCATTTACTGAGCATAAAGCTGAGGTGGAGAAGCTGCAAGAAGAGCATGATCAAGGCAGGAAACAATTTCAAGAAGATATGGAAAAGAGGGTGGCAGGTTTAGCTGAGCAGATTCGAGAGTTGGACTCTCAAAAGCTGGAGTGGGAAACAAAAGAAGCCGCAACTTTGTCTGATCATAAGGCACAGGTGAACAAATTGAGGGAAGAGCATGCTCTCCAACTTAACCAGTTACGTGAAGATATGGAAAAGAAGGTGACCGATTCTTTTGAGCAAATTAAAGAACTGAGAAGCCAGAAACTGGAGTCCGAAGCAAGAGAAACAGCCGCAGTGTCCAACCATAGAGCAGAGTTGGAAAAGCTGAAGCAAGAACACAGTCAGCAAGTAGTGCAAGCAATTGAAGAGCAGACCAAAATGTTTGAGGAAGAGAAGAGGAAATGTCTGTCTGAGCAGGAGCAACGCTTTCAGGAGAAGCTGACAGCTCGTTTACGTGAGAAGGAGATATGTGTTCGCGCCGAACTGCTGCAAGAATTTGACAGTGAGCGGACTCAGCAGAAGAGAAGCCATGACGAGAAGGTGGAGTTGATGCGCAAGTCATTTGAGGACAAGTTGAAACTTGTAGAGAGCGAGACTACGGAGAGGTGTTCCAGAGAGCTCCAAGAGAAGGTGAAGTCTGATGAGGAGCTGCTGCAGTGTTTTGATGACAGGGTACAGGAGCAGGAAGCCCAGATTGAAAGGTTGGTTTTTGTCGTTTTCCAAGTTAAGTGTTTTACAAGACATTAAGTAAGTCCAGAATTAGTATCCTACGAGACCCATGGTCAAAGCTCGGTGTCCTGTGAGACACACAGTGTAAGCTTTGTGTCCTACAAGACACATAGTGTAAGCTTTGTGTCTTATGAGACACACAGTGTAAGCTTAGTGTCCTACAAGACACATAGTGTAAGCTTTGTGTCTTTATGAGACACACAGTGTAAGCTTAGTGTCCTCTGGTCTCAGAAGTATCTGTCATGTGTGTGACATCAGATAGATAAGATAAGATGGTAATGTAAATGTACATTATGATTATTGATCCTCCATTGAATAAAAAACTAGGCAGTGCAGTGTGCTTCCACCAGCTTTTCCAACAGAAAATGTGCATGAATGTGTGGTGTCAGAATCATCACCGGACCACATATTATTTGTCTCCCAGATAATATAAGTACTCCTTTTATCACACTGCTAACATGGAACATGGTATTCCTATGGACAAATCAGGACATATAAATGTAGTGAATGTGAGATATGAGAGTGAACTGCTTTTTTGGGGGGAAAAGCATAATTTTGTATTGTAAAAAAGATGTTCTGTACCTCTCTCAACACATTTTTAGCTGGCTTGGGTACCAGCTATTTTCTGGAAACTTCATGTGCTGGAACAAAAGGCTTGTGGAGTTTGTTAGTATGTTTTGATTTTATTGCTACTTTAGTTTTTGTGAAAAGAAGGCTTATGGGCTAAGCATTTGTCCTTGTTTCAATGACGAATCATTGAGCAGAGAGCAAACTTCTTTTGCATTTTGCTGAAATTAGAGTCTTTTTGTACTTGAGCGTAAGTTTGTTACCAACTGAACCACAGTGGCTGGTATGTTACAATTTCTAAGCGAGCTTTGTCGGCTTGCTTTTGTTCCCCCCCCCCCCTCTAAAAAAACCCCAGAAATAAGATTTTCGTAAATTCTAAAATAAAAAATGACGTGTCTGTGTCTACAGGGGAATGTGTCTGGAATTTTAGTTGATGCTTAAAATTCTGTCAGTCATCTATTGATTTACAGGGGGGTATAATGGCAGTTGGGGTAAACTTTTTTTGACTGGATCTTGTTTTTCCCCCCGTCTTTATGAAGAGATTTAGGAGCCTATAGACCCATGGCCCTCATACCACGTATACTGTTACTGCTTTTCATTTTTTGCTTTTTCTCGGAGCTTGTTTCTGCCTTTACTTTACAAGGAATTCGGCTGTTGCTCGACATTTCTCTTTTTCTTTATTCTTCATTTTGTCGTTTATCTCTAAATGGATATCCTAGTCGCTACAGTGAAGGCTGCCGTTTGCTACTGGTCGTCTAGGCTCCCGTAGAGTTATGGGTCTCTCTGCCTTGGGTTAACTAACTCAATATTTCCTTCTAAGGCATAAGGCTGCCTTGTTGCAGATAGTTTCCTGTTTGGCTGCTGGTTCTGCACTGACACTGCTCTGAGTTGCCGATCCTGAACTTTGTGTCTAACAGTCTTTTTTCAAATATACATAAACAAATGATAAGAATTTCATTGCAGTATAAACGAGTGTTTTGCCTACACGTCTACTATGTGGTTTCAAATTATCTCCCCAGGTTATTGGCAGATAAAGAACAGGTGGAGAACGAACTGAACAAGTTAAGGGAATACACAGAATGGGAGAGGGGTGACCTCAATCGGATAATTGCTGAGATGTCAGACAAGATTCAGGAGATGGAGGCTGACAGTGATGCTGAGAATGAGGCGGAGAGTGATGCTGAGTCGTGAGTTGCTTTTTTGGGAGTTGGTGGGGGGGGGGAGTCGTTAAATGTTGTCAGTAGAGGGTCTTCAGGCGTTGAAAGTCTTGTGGTTAGGTTGTTGGCTTGCAACTGAAAGTTTGCGGATACAAACCCCATCAAGGGGCCCAAAGTTGTGTCCTTAGGAAAGGCATTTTACTCGCTTCACAAAGGTGGGAATCGGTACACAGCTATAGACAAAGATCTTGTCAGTTTATTAGTTTTTAATTCTGCTGCTTGCGCTGTGCGCTTCCTGGTAAGCAAAGAATATTTTTGAGTTTTTTAGGGTTGATTGGGGTAATAATATATCACCATATGATGTGGTTTAGAAGGCACATAGAGCGTGTTATTGAGCGGGGATATATGTCATATGAATATGTTATCTATTATTATTTATTTTATTGTTATTCTATTTCTTGGAATATGTTTGACTTTCTGGCTTCTCTTATTTGTGTTGGAGGATGGTTGCGAGAGAAAACATTTCTGTGTGCACGCACACACACACACACACACTGTGTCATTCATTTCGATTGTGCCATATGCTATTATATCATTAAGACTACACCACATGCCATTTTGAAAAGTGACCTGATTACATAGTTTTACTCTGGGCAGTCAATTTGAAATGCTTGACCCATGCGCCATATATGTATTAATGTGTTTTTAAATTTTCCCCCTTTCACAGCTGGAAGGCCAAGTATGAGGATCTGGTGCTGAGAATGGAGCCTTTCAGAGAGATTCTGGATGGGTTTGAGATGGAAAGGAAACTCTTGCAAGGTCTGTGCACTCTCTCTAAACCTTTTGGGAGTCATTTATGTTAAAGTTAAAGACTACAAGTTTGTTGGAAGTACATTTGCGTAGGTTCCAACCTCTAAACTTTCCCTTCCCTGTGTTGTTCCTGTCTCTTCTGTCTTACTTTTACCCAGCGATAGATGATCGTGTGTTGATGTGCTGCTCCTTACTCTCAAACAAATGATTGTTTGAGAAAGAAAAGAAAAAACCACAGGGTATTCGAACTACGAGTTTGGTTCTCAAGCCCAGTACCTTCCAACTACAAAGTTTGTTCTCCAGCATGGCAGGGTTGTATTCATATATATCAAATTAAATCTCATTACTTTCGGGGGGGGGGGGGCTCTGAAATGGGTGATTTGGAATGATCAGGTTGGCTGGCAGAGAGAAGTCGTTTGATTCTTCTCAGATATAAGACTCCAGATGAGCACTTTAACAACATTTCTCTTCAAATCTAAATGACAAAGCTCTCACTGTTTCAGCACTTTGTTTACTTTCCTTCTGGATCAGAGCCCTCTTGCAACTGTAGCGGAGATGTTTACTTTTAATACTTTTACACTAAATTTCGGAACTTTCCTCTCCCTTGATTTTTTGTAACCCTCTCCCCCCCCTTCCCCCCCTCCAAAAAAAGATGACACATCAACAAAACAAAACAACACCCACTTTGCAAAGGAAAATAAACTAACAACAAAATTGAATGATTTTCTTATATTTTTTTAACCAGATCGAGACAAGTTCACCAGTGAGCAGATTGATCGACTCACCAAGGAGTGTATCACCAACATGGGCCACCAGAATCACAAGCAGAAAGTGAAATATGTGAATAAGCTCAAACAGGAGAATGTGGATCTGCAAAAGGTACGGGAGGCTTTTTATTCTTCTAAAAGCACAGTGGCTTCTTTCCTATTAAACATCTGTCGTCCTTATCTCTCCTTTTTTTGACTTCTTCTTCTTCGTTCTTCATGGTAGATTAGATGGTAAGGGCTGAAGTGTTGATGAACTTAGCAGTGATTCCCAGATCAAGAGGGCTGCTATACAGCTTTGGGGACTTGTCCCTGGGTTGTGGCCAGTATTTTTGTCTTGCCGTATCCAGTAGTAGTGGACAGTCCTGGAGAATATACTGTGCATCTTGGGGGCTGGCACACAAGGACAGTTGATCCATCACTGATCTTGAATTAGGTCTACCCTGCACGCACATAAGCACACTCA